AACTGGGTGTTTCTCAACTTTATTCTATAGTTGCTTCTAGCTCGTTGCTAGGCTTTACAGGGGTGACTCTCGGTTCTTTCTAGATTGCCTCTCAGTGCAGGGATGCTCGAAGTTAAACCCCAGACAGTCATGAATGTCCGAACTCTACAGACAGAAACTCGAGCTGAAACCGAGCACTCACACCTCTCAAATATTTACGGGAACGACGCCGTTGGCGTATAGGCGCATGTCTACAAGCCTGCTATCGCTTTGAGGCCTTCTCGCATCCGCCATTCCCTTTACCGATCCCGCGGTATAGTCTCTCATTTTACGTAGTCGGAGTCCTTGGCAGTATTCACTGCCTATGCCGTATAGTTACCAGCTACATCACCTGGAGCAGCATGCGAGACGGACATCTAGGCTAACATTGGCCGCGCGTCCTTAAAATTTGCATACCTCTCCAGATTCTTGCATGTGCAATAAGCGGCAAGGAACAAAGGGCGCATACTCCAGCTGACGCCACTCGGAGATGAAAGCAGGCTGGGTCTCTGTCACTTAAAACGATCAAAAGCATTACTCATAGCCAAAACTTAGTGCTGGTGGAGAGAAGAAAGAAACAAATGAGTAGTGGTAAAACCCGAATTTTTTATTCGAAAAATAGCCGCTCCATCGATTGCGAACCAGGCCATGTTTCCTCATTCAAGCTCACGCTGTGCTATATGGCACAGATTCTATTACGAGTTTCTTGAGTTTAACGACCTGCCTTCCTATATTTTTAGCAGTCCGGCGAGCCTTCCATCAGTACCCGTATAAACTACGGGCTACACCGGCAAAAGGATCATTTCACATGACGTCAGAAGCATGAAGAAGGTGTGCTATATATGATGTCCGCAACTTCTTGTCACGGAGATTCAAGAGAGAGCCATGTACACCTGAGCGATGAAATCGAGAGTTGGAAACCAGTTGGTCTGAAAGAGGCATGAAGACAATCAAAACAGGGCGCTGACCACAATAAAAGCAAATAAAAAACAAGACGTTTGGCTCCCGTATGGGAGCTGAAGCATTTTGTTTTTATTTGTTTTTATCTTGGTGAACGTATTGTTTTTATTGTCTTCAACACCTCAGCGAGAACCCACCTTCATTGTTTTGGTTAAAATGCTCGATAGCTCTCCTTAAAATCCTGTGATCGATTTCTGGCCCCGGCGTCCGCATTTTGAGGGCTTATGCCTAAGTGCAAGTCGAAGAGCACCATGCAGAACAACACGATGCGTTGGCGCGCTGGTTAGCGTGCATTCATAGCACTTTAGCCCAATAAACGACACCACAAGAAAAAAAGACAGGATAAGCTCTCCGTCCCAATTCTTTCTGGCGTAGATTTTTTTATTTTCTTTTTGCTAAATATAGCACCGTGACAGAACATCAAGTCGTCAAAATTTTCTGAGTACTCCACTATGCTGTCTCTAATAATCATATCGTTGTTTCGGCACGTAAGGCCCCATTTATATTATCGCGATAGCAATTATATGAACACTCTGGGCGAGTTTTGGCCGTCGCTGTCGCCGTCATGTACCGTATAAAGTGCAAACTTATAAGCTCACCCACTGCATCGTGCGTTCTACGTGCGGGTAATAGCGTGCGAGCAGCGAGCAGGGGCGATGAACACAGCTGAAGCTGAGATCAAATGAGCCTGCCCATCTCCGTTGCTTCGAGACGCATGTGATAAGATCGCCCCCTAGGCTGTTGTACTAGCCGTGGAATGTTGAAGCAGAGGGGCAATGACCCTCCCATCTTTAACAAGTGGGTGGGGGAGGGAGGGAGCTTGCTCGAACAGCAACTATGAACTTTGATGTGACTAGCGTGGTCACCATTGCTGGCGCAGGCGCTATATCGCTACCTCACAAGCGGGCGGCTCGTATACCTTTCTGCGTGCAGCGCTCTCAGCACGAAGAGCGTGCTAAATGTGTCCCGGAATCGGCCGTGTTCTTTTTCACCAGCTTTTTGTAGAGTAGCGTGAGATCATATCCAAAATAGTTTGTTGCCAACCTCGCTCAATTGAACATTACAATTTGTTGCTATCGCATTCATTGTTTCACTCTTGCGGTGAAACTGACTTTTTCATTAATATTATTGAGCTTCGTGACAAAGACGAGGGTGTGTCCCTCACTGCCTCCGTCAGGGTGAAACTGTTTTAAAGGGCGGGTACATTCTTTTACCTTCCAACGACCGGGTATGGGCTTATCTAGCCTTGAACGCACAACAATTTTATCCTACTCTAAGAATGCATCTGCTTCAGGGATGCTATGGTCTTTGGGCGAGTGATAATCTGTATCCCAAAACTGCTTCAGCTCACAGATAACACAGCCGTACAGTGTACAGTACTCACAGATTCAAACATAGAATCAATATATTTTAGCATAACGAGTGATATGCTCAATTTCTCAAGATAACAACGCCTAGTCGCGACTAAACCGATCTGTCAAGGTAATGTTGGCCCTGATCTACGCGTTCGAATTGAAATCATGCCGATATGCCCCGAATAAGAGATGGTTGAAACGAAAGTATGTGTGTTACTTAGCCCTGAATTTTCCTGTTTCAATCCTTGGGTATGCTGTTCGTATATCGTATACCAAGCAGTCAATATACAAAGGTGCCCAGCAACACTGATGTCATGTTTCTGACCATGCAAGAGCACGGTCACTAAACTCTGCTTACCGTTATATAAGGGTTCCTGAAAGAAACCGAGCCACATATTATAGCGCAGCACGCGGCCTAGAATTCACAATGAATTCTCTAAGTGAGCTAAAAATTGCTTTCTATTCTCTCAACAAATGACGGAAGAGGCTCAAAAATCACTCGTCACAGCCGTTCAATCAGCCATTCACTGATTTGAGCATGGCGCGCTCGGTCGTTACAGGGATCGCCACGGGAGGCCGCGACTTGTCCACGTGTGCGCACGCGCTCGTATTGTAAATTAGAATTGTGGCAGCTTGGGCTAGTTGGTATGTCATGACGATAGTTATAGCGCGAGAACAAAACGACGACACAGAGACAAGAAGGACACAGAGACAAGAAGGTGTCTTTCGTGTCCTTCTTGTCTCTGTCGTCGCTTTGTTCTCGCACTATAACTATCGTCACGCATTGTAAAGCCGCGCATTCGAAGAGAAAAAAATAAACACAAAAAATTGGCCCTGTGTCAGCGTGTTCTACTGCAAATGTCGTCGAAAGACGATGGTCTTCCGTCTAGAGAGAGTGAATAAAACATTTACTTGATGTTCTGCGCGAGAAACATGAATCACCCCCCCCCCCCCCCCCCTTCTGTTAAGCTCAGCTACGGGCATAATCCGGAAGGTGCACGATGACGCCCGGCAAGGCCAGTGGTATATAGTACATGTAAGGCTCGGCCTGGCGCTACCGACGTGGATTGACGCCAACGTTACTGTTCTAGTACGGTCCCTACAATATACTGGCTATTTTAGAGACCATAATTCTAGTAACGTTGGATCGACGCGGCCCGCCTCGGTCTGAAAAGACCGGGCTTCAGGACACTAGCTTTGTGAATGAATGAATGAATGAATGAATGAATGAATGAATGAATGAATGAATGAATGAATGAATCCCTGCCACGCATGGAGCATGGCATCGAGAAGAGGTAAGAAGTCGTCATCATCATTATCATAACAGCGTGGGCTCCCGAGCGAGTGCCACCGGAGAACACGGTGGCGTTATGTCACTTCACAAGCATGACTTTTAGGGAGCCTACATGAACAGGCGGTCATGTAGGCTCCCTCAGTGACATTAAAAAATTATTCGAGACAGTGAAACCTTTGACATCTTTGGAAGAATTGTTGGCCTACGGTAATCAAAGCAGACCTATTCGTATCGTAAGTCCTTTGTCGACTGCTATGAACTGGAATTCAGACGGACTGGAGACCCATATATGCCACGACGTGGATGACATTTGCAACGAGCGGTGAGGATATTTTAATCAAACTTTCAAATGATCTAGCAGTGCTCGATCACTTCTTGGTCGAATTGAACCATGAAGTGGTTCGTAATTTTTATGGCACTGTAGAGTAGCCTCCCTAATTCCTTGTATTAGCATTTGTCGCTGCTGCCCATACACTATATGAGCGCGCGTTCATAGATTACTTACTGAAGCAACGCAAGCGCTACGAACTAATTTTTCCTGAAATCATCGTACAGCAAAAGTGTGTGTTTTATCGTTGATTTCATTAACCTCAAGTCACTCAATTCCTTTAAAACTGTCAGCTTTCATCTCCCCCTTTCTCTTATGATACAAATTATTTCCATTCAGGATGAATGGTCCTGACATACCAAATGCACTCCAAGGTATGTCTCCATTTAGATGACCCTCCCACTTGTCACTTGGAGCCCCCTTCTCCCCACGAAGTAAATTATGCTGGCTATGCCGCCATGATTAAATATAATGATATATAAGGCCAATACAGGCCTACTGGCATTTTCTACATGGCTGGTTGGTTGCTATGCAGTTGTTGATTCATAAGACGGTTGGCTTTATACCAACATGCCCTGAAAAGTGACTTTTTGTTATGTGCTATTATTCTTGCAGAGCTGTTTATCGCTCAAGGGTCTCCGATGGGTTTTACGATCTGATCGAACGAACTGATCGGCGAGTGTAGTTTGGTATTTGTGCTTAACGTAAAAAAATGTGAATTTCATTATACGGCCTTGTATCGTTTAATCATTCAGCATAGTGATACGTTGCGTGTTTTTATTTGGTGAAATAGCCGCGTTAAAACACACTGTGCACGCGCGTCTTAAATCGAAAGCGAAACTAGTGAACAATAACAATTACCAAAATGCAACCCTAGTAAAAAAGTGAAAGTAAATGTTTTTCAAAATAAAAACTCTTTAAAAAAGTTTTTTGTTCAACAATTCCGCGCCACAAAAAAGTAAATTTTGCGCTCTTAGCGTTAACTTTTTCTACAGTTGTCATGACAACACGTTTGTAAACAAATGACGATTTCCTGTCGTGCTCTCTGCGGTGCAGCAAGTCTCGGCTTGAGTAAGGAAGATCTCTATTATTCTCGTAGTTTATTGCTTTTTGGTAGTACAGAGGTTGTGGTGAACGCAGGGCCTTGTAATTTGATGGCCACTAAGATCAGTTGATTGCCTCATCGTGGTGTATTTCTATTCCTCGAATTGCGCACCGCTGGGCGTCAACTGTAAGGCTCGCGCGAGTTGCTCTCTCCAAACCTCTCGTTTGTAACCAAAGCGGGCGCGAGCTGAATGAGCCATATTTTACTCTCGTTCTAGCCTTCCGCAATGTCGTCCAAAAAGCGCGAGGAGCCGGCCAGCGTAGATGAAGTCGGGCCCGGTCAAGCGTACCTCCCTTTCGTCGTAATGGAGGACTTGTTGGACAAATTGAAGCTTATGAACTACGACACCGAGTTCACAACACAGTTTAAAGTCAAGCCTGTCAGCAGGTAAGTGAGTTCGCAGACGTTCATAATTGAGATGCGTCGGCTAACTCTGGTCGTTGTTCAACGTGTAGCTCCGTGAAAGCCCAAGCACACTTTTGACGATGTTTACCGAGAGATGCACGTTTCGGTAAGTGAACGGTGAATAATAATGAAGTTATGACCATATGGGTGATTCAAGTAAACTGAGACATCATAAATGTCGTAAAAAGGTTGTTTTTCCAGGATCATAAATAGACGAAGATTACAAAATAGGCAAGTTCTACAAAGCAAGGTCGTGGGAGGAAACAGTGCTATGAAAAAGAGTAGCGACTAGCTTCTCAATGATTATGAAGGGCAATGATGTTGGCCGTGAAACAAAAAAAATGTATATTCTTTGCGCCCTGGTAATTCTTGTGGCAATGTATGGGTGCGAGGTGCCTATCTTGTGGAAATATGAGAGTGAGAGCAAAGTTATTGTTTTTTTTTTTTTTTAGCTATAGAGGCGACGTAGACTTTTGAGGATTACATATGAACTGACAAAACAACAGACATATGGTCATGACGGAGACAAATCCCAAATGATCTTTCGAGGCAAAGGTGCTGAACCCTAGATCTTCTTTATTCTCATGATAACATGCAGCCTACCAGTTCAGTGGCTAGCAAAGTGGTAGGTGAGAAAAAAACATGGTGGACGATGCGCGAGATGTACATTATATAGACTGTATTCTTCAGGCCACCTAGAAACGTAACCTTGAGCTTAAAGAATGTGCATGAAAGAGATCTCACTGCATCACCAGTTGATTGTACCTTACTATAGCAACAATATTGTGACTTATGCACAGTTTATAAAGCAGCATTAATTCCATCGCTTTCCTTGTGGTGATGTGTCACTCGTTTGGTTTGTTTGTTTCAGGCATTATTTCGCAGTGCCAACGAACCCGGGAGAACAGTTCTACATCTTCTCTTCACTGGCGGCTTGGCTGATCCAGCAATCGGGCATTGCGTTTGAAACACCACAGGAGGTGAATTGATCGATTTTGTCATCACCTTGACTACTCTGAGTGGAACAATTTATTTTCTATCAGTTTTGTTGACTGTCTATGACAAAATGTATCATTTCTTTGAGGAAGGAACAATTTGTAAGACCTTTTATGACCTACTTTATCATAAGGTTATAAATCTGCCAAAGGCGAAGTATAATTAAGAGGTTAAACAATCATGTCATAACTGTATGAATTCATAAGTTTCATGCAATTGAAATTATAGTTGCAATCTAGTGAAGCGGAACTGGCTGATTTGACTAGAACTGCGTTAATTTCTGTCTTCTCCTAGCGTAATGTATTTTACATAACTTCTCCTACGACTCACTACGTGCTTTGTGCCCCAATACTAAAGGCTGCTGTTCTGACATCATTATTGTTGTGGCTTTGTGACTGATTGCGCTTACTGAACCAAAGCTAAATTTCTCTTTGCAGTCGGATGATCCTAATACGACAATATCAAATATCCTAGATGTGCTTAGGAATGCGGTACGTATATAGTGTCTACAGAGACTTAGAGTGAACTTGTTGTCCCCAGTTGCTTGGATCTGTTTGCTTTCACTTCGTTCTCTTGCATAGGGCACCGCTATCGACTTCCCTCCGAGTCGCCTGAAACAAGGCTGGGGAGAGCACGTGATCTTCGTTCTCGACCATTTGGCTGACAAGGCCCTCAGGAAAAAGCAGTTTGCATGGAAAACGTGAGTAATTGAAATGTGCTCAGGTAACCACTTGCTGCATTTGATTGGCCTGTGGCAAAATTAAAAGGAACTGTTCACAGATATTCATAAATCTGAGCAGTTTGTGCATCAGGAATAGCGAAGCTGTATGAAGAATTTGTCTTTTTGTCTCGACAACACCTGCTCAAGACTTCGCAAGTTCGTCACTGTATGTAGTGTAAACCTGTTCACTGTGTCTGACTCAGTCACTTCGCTGTGTATGAGCTTTGTGTTCTCTGTACTCTGTTAAGTTCTGAGTATGTTCCTTTGGGCTGTTCTAGGTCCATCACCCACACCCTTCTCTAAGCAACACACCTGTGAATGACCTCAACACAGTGGTCCAGGGGCTATGGTGTTTGACCGCTCACATAAAAGTACGGATATCGAATCCTGGTTGCCGCGGCAGTATTTTCGGTGGAAGTGAAAGAACTTTCTGCCCATGTATATAGGTGCATGTTGAAGAACCAGAGGGGGCCGAATTTCTTGAGTCCTTCACTACGGCACACATCATTATCACATCATGGTTCTGAGACTATAAATTCCTACAGTTATCATTATTGGTCTAGTTGAAGCCCTGTATAAGCCAGTGATGTCAGAGACAAATGGGTATAAGAGGCATCACTGTGCCTGCATGGAAATACGGGTTGATCAGAAAATGAAAACATGATGCCCTGCTTTCAAGAGATGCCTCGCATAAGGGACCTGAAGTGCTTCCTGGTACGTGTTCGTAAGAAGGGGTTCGAGTGTAGTAACAGTTGGTTGGCGATATTGACTACACTGGCACACTTCACTGCTGTCATGTGGTAACCGTTGAGGCAAATTCACTTTTACAAAGTTTACAGCCACGAAAACAACGAGCTCATTGCCACCATTAACAATGTTACCTGTTTGTTCATTTTACTTTTGCAGCTAATTCTTTTTCTAGCTTGGGGCTACGACTTGTAGCTATGATACCATTGTTTCTGTGGCAACCTTTGTGTAACTCGAAGACAATCAAAGCGGACTGGAAACAAGTAAATTTCGTCTCTTGTTTGCCCTTTAAGCACACTGCAGAAATATATTATTTCATTCGTACTATTCAGTGCATCCCCTTGCAAATTGTTTTGTTTCTTTATTTGCAGAAACCACCGTTTATTTCTCAGCTGCACTTTACAGCACCACCTGTACAGCTTCACTTCTTATGCATGTGAGTTGAAGCAGTTGCACTTTATTGCCTGTTACTAGTGACAAAGACATTGTTTTACACTTTTGCTCACATTGAGTTCTTGCTCACTCTTTTTCTTTTGTTTTATAGTTTTTGAAAAAAAGTCGCATCTTTGCTGCAGAGGTGAAGCAATGAACGTGATAGCAGGAAATTGGAAGGTCACTTGCAGAACGGCAAGCAGATCAAAACGAGCCCTGCGTTTCTCATGCACAAATGACGCACGTAACGTACTCACAGGTACAGATGAACGCAAATAGGCATCTCAGTTGTTACTTTGCTGTGTCTGAAAAGCGCGCCGTTTTCGCAAACGGAGGCCGTGCAACAATTGCAGTGACCTTGTGCGCCAGGTGACTACAACAAAATCGTTCCCATGAAACCCAAAGGCTAGCCAAGACATACGATTCTCCCACTGCAAGATAAGGACACGCGATCGAGCGTACACCCCCTTATTCTCTACGCGGGCCAAAGTACGCGTGAGAGATCAGAGCCACCGCTCGCTCACAGCACCATCTTGCTGATAATGCTGAAAACACGATAGTTTCCCCCCGAGATGCCGCCATCAGCGGTAAGTGGTAGATATGAATAGCTTGTCGTTTGAACGTTGAAGGAGGCACCCTTCGGTGGCTCAGTGGTTAACGCCTCGCATTCAAGACGCGAAGGTCCCAGGTTCGATTCCGTGCGCCGGAGTCTTTCTTTCTGGGATTTTTTTCATGTGTTTTCATATATATAGATACATATACAGTGCATGACAACGACGCCAACATTGATGATGTTGGTGCTATAATTGCTATCGCAATAAAATGTATTTGCACTCGTATATAGTGCAAACATGAGGTCACCAGGCAAAGGCAACCTTTTTCGCTTGTTTATTTTATAATTGACGCTAAAAATAATTGACGAACTAAGAGACATATTAATATGTGGTTGAAGCATTATGCATGTGTACCTCAACAGAAGCAGTGGCAAAGAAAAAAATACTTAGCTATCTTGTCAGTGTATGTGAGTTTTATATGACTGCATGTTGCTACTCGCCCCGTTGCGGTGGTCTAGTGGCTAAGGCACTCGGCTGCTGACCCACAGGTCGCGACATCGAATCCCGGCTGTGGCGGCTGCATTTTCGGTAGAAGTGAAAAGGCTGCAGGGCCGTGTGCTCGGATTTAGGTGCACATTAAAGAACCCCAGGCTGTCGAAATTTTCAGAGCCCTTCACTACGGCGTCTCTCATTATCATATGGTGGTTTTGGGATAATAAACCCCAAATATTATTATATTACTATTTCATGTTGCTACTCATATCGAAGTTTACGCATCCTTTTTTTAATCTTTAGGAATTCCTCTGTTCATTATTTTCTTGCTTCCAAGATTTCTGCATATTGGCAATGTAATGTTTACATTATATGAGCAGGAAGCTGTTTCTGACTCGAACTTCTTTGTGATTGTTGAAGTACAAGCTGTAAAACAATTTTTCATAAGCATCAATTACTGCTGTTCAATAATTACCATTTTTTCCAATTTCTCTTGTTTTTTTTCTTCAGCATTTAACTTGGTATTCTGACATATACAAAGCTTATGAATTGAACGTAATAAAACATATCCCACGCTAAGGTCGAAACACTACAATGTGTCATTTCTTGGTTATTTTGTCGCTTTTTCAAGTCTATTTCCAACAGTCCACCACTTACCTCAGCCCAGCATCCCTCGAAGTTATCTTTGTTTAGTACAAACTTACTTGGCATCATTCAGTAAGCATTGCAGGTGACAAGAAGACTACCTATTTGGCACTGCATCATTTCCCAATGTCATATACAGTAGACTCTCAGTAAACGGAAATCTGTTGAACGGAACTACTGAATAAACGTAACAAATGCCTCTGCTATTTTTGGTTTAGGGCTTGTATTCTGCACCCTTGTTTATCTCTCATTAAACAAAACTCTTGTTAAATGAAACATACTTTTTCCGGACCCTTCAGGTTCCATTTAGTGAGAGTCTATATTGCCATGACATTAGATTTGTATGGTAGTGTCGAAGATTGGGCGAGTCGGTTTGTTGTATACTGGAATTGATCCAGCCTATAACAGGAAAAAAGAAACAGCCGAGCTGTCCAACACGCAAGGACAGAGCGCTTACTGTTGCCTACAAGACTATATATTTGATGAAATTTGCTAGTTAAAATTTGTTGGAAGTAGTGCTTTGTCCTTTTGTGTTGGCTGGCTCAAGCATTTCTTCTTTTCTGTTATGCGCTTGACCAGTTCAACTATTATTGGTGTAGAATAGTTGTGCACAGTTTGTTTCCTTCGAAGGAATGCACTTAGGAAGTTGAAGATAGACTGGCTTGTCACTCCATCTTGCTAACAGCTTCAGTGGGCAAGGAAGTGTACTTGCATACATGTGTACTTTCGTACGCACACTAACACCTAGAAAAGGACCCTCTCCTCTCCCCCGTTTGATTTAAGCACTCTTTCATCATCACCGAAAAGTGTGAGCGTGCATGCACGGGCGTGTTTTTCACACTTGGAGGGTATTATCATCAGCTGCAGCGCTCTCTACTGTCCTTGTTTGCTTCCGTAGTTACGCTGTAAGTGCTTCTAAGTTGCACTGTTTGTATATTCAGTTACGTCCTACCAACTTGCCCTAGTTTCCACGCTGCATTGATTACCTTAAGTGTTAAAGAGTCTTAGCATTCAAGAGAATTTTGCAGTGACTTGTCATAGAGTGCTGCCATAGAATGCAACATCAGAGAAACATGGAGGGCATCACAAGACATTCCATCTTACATGTTCATGTTTCTGCTGCTCAAGGCTTTTGCCACCAGAAGAACAGCTCGAAGAAGAAACAGTGGTTGATGATGCCGCAGAGGTGACTCTGGAGAAAATTGAAGAGGAGATGATGGAGGTGTGTTCTAACCCCTCTCTCTTTTCTTCCTTCTGTAATGTGAGCTACACTGGCCAAGGTTGAGCAGTTTCGCCTGGCTCCTGGAGAGCCGTAGGCTGTGCATGTGCGAGGATCAGTGATGTCATATGGCGCACAGCTGCCCCCACTGCACGCACCTCGCCAGTCTGTGGATTTCAGAGGAGTGACCTCATAACCATGGCAGACGCATGGGTGCGTGCCCAGTTGTGCGTCTTCATTGTGCGGTAGCAGAGTCTGACGCCGTGCTGGGGCCGTTTGATAGTGCTTTTCATTTTGGGTGCATGCACAGAGGTATCAGTGGCGTAATACATAGAGCTGAGCATTCGCCACTGTATTATAGCCATAGAGGAGGAGAGCCAAATTGCTGCTCAGTGACAAAGTAAAACAGAGAAGCTTAGTTTGTTGGATTTTGCTATTCGCACAGCTCTAGCTGATACCCAATATATTTGGGTCTGAAATACATCATCATCATTGTTAATGCCATGGTCATTAGAAGTATTGTTATGAGTAGTCGCAGTAATCATCACTGATTACAATTTAGTATTGTCTTCATGCAAGCGCTGTAACTGTTGCACAAAGTGGCATTTTATTCATTCGGCTCGCTCACATTCTTTAGGAGCAAACAGCGGAAGACGAGGACGATGATGACGGTCCAGTAATGGACCTGGATGGCTTGCGTACGCTATCGGCTGGCCGCTTGGTGAGATTGCAGTAACTTTTCTTGTGCAATTATATTGCTAAAATGTATCGGGTGCTCCATGAAAAAGATAACAGTGCTTTTGGTGGAAGCGACCACATGTGGAATGGCAGAGTAAATTTTATACATGAAACACAATGTGGCTCACTGTTCTGCTGATGTTGCTGGTTCACTGTATTGTGTTATTAGTCTATTACTGCTCTGTATGTATCTAGTTAACATTTATTAAGACAATAATTAGTTGTAGGACATGAACACGCCAACAGATGTTGCACTATCAGGCTGTAATAGATTTGAACCATCTTATCTGTGCTGTGCTGCTAAGTGTTGGTCTACTCTTGTCTTTCATTTTTGTACATTGTGTGCACTGTCTTAAGGGTTTCTGGACCCATAGCGAATAATATTCGTAAATATATTCTAAAAGAATCTACCAGTGGTATCTTATCTTTAACTTGTCAATTCATTCAGAAAGAAACGGTACTTTTGCAGTTTTTGTGTGGCATTGAGCCTAGGTAGTGATAGCAAGAAGAGAAGGTAATTCAACATGACTCTAGCCAGTTCGCAGTAGCTCGTAGCTTTGTCATTGTGCTAGCATGCCTGCAACTGAAAAATCATTGTGCTGCCTACAGGTATGGCATGTCAAGATATTTTGTGCATCGTTGAATAAGCATGCCGATTCGCATGCACACTTCTACCACAATGTAGCTAATGCAACACCAAAAAAAGTGTGCCCACTGCTCGTTTTTTATGGGATATGTGCACATAACATAATAAACAGGGGACATACTGTTATGTACCGTGGAAGCACCTATCCCACTTTTGCTGAATATTTGGCTAATCTTGCTTTGGGCTCATGTCCCATCGAAAGCAGTGAAAACAAAGAAGGCTGCCAACAAAAAGCTTCAAGGCAGCACTACGTTTGCTGTGCAATCGTAAATCATGTGCTACATTAACCGTTTAACCGCTAACCCTGAGTTGCACTTGTCACATGAGTTAGCATCAATGTCGCCAATGACGAGTCCCACTCGCCCGGCCCTATTTTCTGCTCCTTCTGCTGCCAGACGCTTATCACAGCTGTCAATTGCTTTGCCTGCAACTTCTACTCTAGATAAAGGTAGTTGCCTCTGAAAAACTGCATTTCGTGGCTTTCATGTAGGTTTTAAGCCTGGCAAAATCATTTCATAATGCCGCTAAGAAGAATACTGGTGGTGGAAGTGCTTCAAGAGAAAGAGCAGTACAGAAAGCAGCGTCTGTGCCGACATGGACTTTGTGTCCGACGGTGACCCCAGATATTGCTTCAGATGAAGACAAAAGATAACGACGATCTTTAGACACAATGCTTCAAAATTTACCACACAAAGTGCGACAATTAATTAGCAAAACCTATGTTTCTACGTAGGAAAGTCAATGAAACTTTCAGTGCGTTATCATGTATTTCTTCAAATAGATACTTAGACTTTCGGTACGTTATGACCCATTACCATGACATGCACTAAGGCAAAATCTCTCTCAAAATTGGTTTTTTTTCTTAATTTGTGTGCTGATTATAAGTAGAAATAAACAATGTAATATATTTTCAGAAACATAAATGCAGGAAAAAATTATGAATACCCCGAAAAAATTGCCAATTTGGTATGTTTTTTGGCAGTTAAATTGGCAGTTAGAAGTTTGGTGCCTACTCATTGTCACTGTACCTAGCGAATTATAAGTCCAACTAAGTGAATGGCGAACTCGGCAAACAAAACCGCCTAACTCTTTGTTTAAAATAGGCCTGCCATGCGTGAGCTTGCGCATCATTTCTTTGCCGTAGTTGCAGTACTTTAGGGCGTCATGCTAGGAGTCCCACTCGTGGATTATTTCTCTGCATACTTTGAAAATGCCAAGAGGTGCAGCGCGGATAGTTTCTTGAGGCACAGTGACACACAAGGACTTTTACCTTCCTTGCGACAGTGTAGGAGCGCATCTTGCAGATTGCCGTGGTGGCCGCAGTGGAGTGAACACTTTTCAACAGACGCTGGCGCATTGGAACAGTTGGAAGAGCGGGTGCTTAAAGTATAAATTGGACAATCGTGGAGTTTCAGAAATGCTAATACTGATGGCTTGTGCAAAACTGGGTACTTATGCGGTAGCTTAGAGTATTTACTATTTTTAGATGGGCAAACACATTCCACTCCGACAGATGGAAATTACATTGAATACCGTTCGTGCAGTTGCACAAACTGATGTGTGTACAGAGAAAGTCAACACGGGGTACTCAAGCCATTCATAAACCCATCTTTCAAAGTAGGCACAATTAGAGATGCCTACCTGATATCTGTGTGTCACACTTTCAGTAACACCACTCATGCCACTAACGTGATCAACCAACTCATGCTTATTGGAACATTGAGATATGCCTTCATTGCGATAAGTCTGGCCCAGCTGTGTGCGAGTGTCACACGCCAGCACCATGTTTTTACGTTACGATGTTCTGCAGCTTGAATACGCATGTGTTTTGTACAACTGTACAGGGTGGATCATCTCAGTTGAACAAGCCCGAGGAGATTCTACAGTCAACGGTGGATAGTGCCGAGTGGAAGCTGGAAGTGGAGAGGGTCTTACCCCAGCTTAGGGTTACTATCCAACCCGATGCCAAGGTCAGTCAGCTGCGTTATTAATAGAAATACCTATACTACTGCGGTCCTCAAAGATTTAATAGTATTTGTGTTGGCTTTCGTTTTAGCTTGAAGGGACTGCGATGTGGACAGCAGCTTTTTGTCTTATCTGTAGTGCTAGCAGATGCATTATTGGGTGTTACATTTTTCCAGATCATGCATTCATTTTTTCATAAACACTAAAAAAATATCGGTTATATTGTAGACATAGGACAGGCATGCACAGGGTTTCCCATTATGGTGGACAAAATTTAGGCAGCCTACATAACCACCCATTATGTGGGCTTCCTGGGCAAAGTTTCATCATAGTTGGTCAAGTTTGAAAGACAGCATGCTTCTCACAAGGACCTGCCTTTGGTTCCTGGCTTTTTTGAAGTAAATACAAGAAGTAAACATTCATTGTTATGCAAGATCAGGGATTCTTAGCTGCCATAATCATCAAAAGCTTGCGTGGCCGTAACCCTGCTCTGGACAGTGATGGTCCAAATGAGTAAACATGTGGAGCAGACTTTGCACCACCTATGCCCCTCTTATACGCACACCCATGGTTATAGATGTGTATGACACAGATGACTTGCTGTCCCATTCTTGTATATCAGTGCTGATATTTTAGTTCCTGATTTACAGGACTGGCGTGGTCATCTGGAACTGATCCACCAGCAACGTCGCGAGCTTGATGAGGGCCTGCTTATGACTCGAGCTCAGCTCGAGAGGCTGTCGGCTGGGCTTGGCTCAGTTCTAGACAAGCTGGCTACTCGCGAAAAATACCTGAACGCACAGCTGGAAGCACCCTTGGCCAGTACCAGTCAGTGCAGGAGGCCCTGGGGCGCACACGTGAACACTACCGCACTGTCAGCGGGGGCATCACCGACCGCTCACGTGCACTCGCACAGGTTGGTATCGGGCTATCGGCATTGCCTGTAGAATTTGACTATAACGAGGTTCCTCTGACTAATGCCCAATTCTACTGAGAGAGCAAGAGCACTTAGAAGCATTCTGAAAGTGCTCTTTTCGGAGCCGGTGTGTTTCATTGGTTGAACATGTGCAAGAGCACTGTCATCCGTTGGTTGAGCTATTTGCAGTGCTCTCGCCTGAAAAGCGGAGTAGCCGCAGTATGATGAGTCATGTGGTTTTTCAAAATCACAGCCTCTGAGTTTTTCTTCAGCCTGCGAGTGGGGCGGCAATGCTAGCAACCATGTGTAGTTTTAAAGCACTGTTCCACTGTTTTGTATGGGTGGCGACTATGGCAGCTGGACGTCTGCCAAATGTGTTGTTGCACAAACATACTATGTATTCGAATAATGAAGAACAAGTGGCTTTCCGAATTCACATGTATTTTGCTGCTGCCCCACAGAGAATACACCGGGCTTGGAATGTTTCGATCACATGGTCTCCCCACTCGTCACCCTCTCACCTGCTCTCCAGGAGCGTGCCGCATTCCAGTGGCAGATGGAATGGCCCTGCCCCTCTACTCCTGTTCTCGCAATGGAATTCGCTATAAGAGCATGGCTTCTCAATAGTTTCTGGGCCAGTGAGTTTGGCTAGGGTTGAGGCTTGGGCTAGTTGTTTGACACTTGACGGGGAAAGGACAGCGAAAAACTTTCGACAGGACTCACAAGAAGGCACGACAACAGCGCTATGGTCGTGCCTTTTTGTGTGTCCTGTCGGAATTTTTTCACTGTTATTTTCCCCGTCATAAGCTAGTAATAGCTGTTGTTTATTTGCTTGTTTTGAACAACCACTCTAGTGGCTAAAATTTAATGCTGAAGTATCACGTAAATTCGCTTTTTCTGTGCATTTGAGCCATTCAGTAAGATGGCTCATTTTCGTGACCGACCCACTACAAGAGTCTAGTGGTTGAGGTGCCAGACAGCCGACCTGGCAGGTCACGGGATCAAATCACAGCTGCAGCGGCCGCATCCCAACGGAGGCAAAATGCCAGAGGCCTGTCTGCTTAGATTTAGTTGCATGTTGAAAATCCCCTGGTGGTCGAACTTTCCAAGGCTTTCTCTTACGGCATCTCTCATAACTGTATCATGTTTGTGGGATGTGAAACCCCAACAATTAATTATTAATTGTTTCTATGAGTGCAATCAATCATGGCTGCACCATTCCTAAAACCATGGCATCCATGGCCATGTTGAATCAAAAGTTTAGACAGGAGTGCATTAATGTACCTAAAGGGACCCTGCAACACTTTTTCAAGTAGCCATAGAATGGATTCACTAAAGGAGCTTTTTTCCGAATGAATTCACTGCTTCGAAAAGGTCTGAAATCTATCTAGTACGAGTGGAGTTACAAAGATTTGTCGCGCACTGCAATTGCATTCTCTCTTCTCTCATTCCGTTCAGAAGGCTGGAAACTAAGCAGGGAAGAATAGACCAAGGAAAGAAAAGTCGTTACGTGCACCTCAAGACCTTGAGTGCTTTATTTATTTATTTTTTTTCATCCAATACGAGGCTTATCAGTGCACGCAGGTGAACAAGTTGCAGCCTCCCGTGCCAAGCCAATGTAATGACCAAGCAAATTGGCCAATGGCTGATACAATGGCTGTGATTGTGACGAGTTATTTTCGAGCTTCTATCGTCGTTTTTCAGGAAGGAAAAAACAATATTTAGCTGAATTTGAGAATTTCTTGTGAATTCTAGGCAACGTGCTCCACTATAATATTTGGCTCGGGTTTTCTGGGGAGCCTCGACTACCCATCGGCATTATTTTCTGACCACACGTGAAAAGTGTTGCAGGGCCCCTCAAACAGAAGACTTTACATGCCACACAGGCTTCAATGCGCCACACAGGTGAACGGTGCACATGTTTCTCAACGTCAACATCGCCATCTTCTTAGACTGTCTTGCCATAATGCGGGCTTCTCATGAGACACTAGCAATGTGCAATGGAGGAAAAGAGAACACAGAGCACTGCATGTGCCAGATGTGCTCGACCTTATTTGTTGTGGTTGTTAGGCACGTCATGTCGTAAGGTGTGTGATGCGAGGAAGATGGAGACGATGCAGACACAATATGGCAGCTATATTCGACGACAAAGACATTACAAGAAGCACAATGCCACGAGCCCAGGCACCAAAAACAGAAAAGAATAAGACGGAGCAGTCTCACTGCCTCTACGATGTCTGGTGCCTTGTGAGTTGAGGCTTATTGCATGCTTATGATGTAGTCATCGCTAGGGTGCACAGGTCAGCATCCTGATGCAGAAAGAACCACCAGGCGCAGGCGTAGCCGCAAGCTGTAAGTGACGTCGCACTTCACCAGTGGTCAGCGGTTTTGGAGTCTTGAGGACACTCGCTGTCTCGGAGGTGTCAGTAGTGGGCCCACCCAGACTCGTGCTTGGTTACACGATGAGTCAGGGACTTCAGCGGCTTAAAAAACGGACGCCCTGACTTCTGAACCTCACATGTAGTTGTGGTTTCTTCATAGGCCCTCTGGCAATGTCTTGCCAGCGTCTCTTTTTCTGTTTTTTAATTCGCAAGCTCCAAATCTGTATTCTTTTTCATCTTCTAAAAGGAGGCTGCTTCACTGGTGTTTTTCGTGTACTTCGGTGCATTTGTCCACAAATAGCCTCAGCTTGAGGTCAAGCCAGCTTTATGCTAAGCACAAATCTTGTTGGCTCATTGTGATTCTAGCATTGGACTAGCTCTGGCGACATTGTCTCCAATGCCCAGCACGTGGTTCTGACATAGTCTGTAGTATTACTCGTGTTCAGCCTTGCCGACGGTGGTCTTTTCTATAAACCATTCTCTTTTACCGAGGAGGCACTACAGTTATCGACATGATGAACAGGGACTCTTTCTTCAAGATTCATGAACAACTAATTTTATTTCGTATTTATTAGTTTTGGTACCAACTATTATTCCTCATCCCCACCACCAACTCCGAAGGGCATGGTGCTTCTTTCCCCTTTTTTTGTGCATTCATAGGGAATGACTACTTGAAGCAAGAGGCTCTGAAAGAGTAAAGCCTCTTCATAAAGTATGGTGCTGCTCTGTTTTAAAGTGGCATTGCCTTTCGACGCACCAGCGCCTATTTGGTCCCACTGATACTAGAAGAAGGTCTTTATCCTACTTTCTTCTGTCGTTGCCTTCCATGTTGTTTTCGCACTTGCTGAAAACATACATGAGCAAGAAGTATCCTCGTTTGTCTGTGCTCCCTAAGCTTCGTTAAGATTCTAATTTGAAGCATTATGTTGGTAGATGGTCGGTGAACAGGACAGCAGCAAATAAGCTTCTTGCTCTGTGCTTCAGGTAGCTGTGTAATGGTAATGTGTTTATGCCGGAGAAAACATTTATATTGTCATTTCTGCTCTACAAGAAACAAACAAAAAGGCAAGACTCCACTTCATCTGAGAAGTTTCTTTCAGCACTGTGAAGGCTACAGGCCCCTTTGCCACTAGGAAGGGCGATGGGCCCTGCCACATGTGTTCGTCTTCTCAGCATTTCTCTGGTGTCTGCTTACTCATCTAGGGCGAGTAAAGCTAATAGACGGCACCGCTAAAACAAGAAAAAAAAAACTGCGGAACCTATTTCGTCTGGTTCCCTCTGCTTCAAGTTTATCGAGTCCTCATTGTGTGCTGATTGACCTATAAGTTATAAACTGACGCTGGTACTATATGCTTTAGGCAAATGGGCTGATGCTTTGATAGCAATGTATTTGTGCCTATACTGCGCCGATTTTATGAACCGTTATCAAATTCTCGGTGGGTTAGGCTTAGCGGGTGTGGCTGAACAAACAGCTGATCTAGCAAATAACAACAAAATGCACTTGATACTTGGTACTCAGCATAAGATAGCACAAGGAGATGTCTTATTGCACTATTTATTGGTAGCTGCCAGCACATTTGGATCACCGCAAGCGCGAATTCCTATCAAAGTGGGCGGTCACGTCTGTATGGGTGCTGTCTTGTTGATTTGTAACCACAGTTACCGGCAGTTACTTACGCAGCAGTCAGGGGAACACGACATAAATGTGACGAGAAGTAAACATATCACATGTTGATGTGGCCAAACACCTACCAAATGAGCGTAAACCTCTCAACCCTCCTAACTGTAAGGTAATTTATATCTGGAACTATGTTTTGCTTCGCAAGCATGTGGCTTGCTTACAACTCATCGACTTGGTAGTGCTGAACGGTAGTGGTGGGTTGGAGTATACTTCTTTAAGCTTTCGTCTGGGTCTGGCTAATGAGAGAGCACCAATGTATGGTGGTGGGACGACACAATTATTATGTCATTGTAATATCTTTCGTTTGTGTCAAATATTTTCTTTTTCGAATTTAGACATCCGCAAACATTCCCTGAACATAAAGAACAGAGTACCGTCCTTCACGCTACATTAGTACTCATATAAAGATTTTTCTCTTCCTTACAAAGCACCAAAGGCTGTCAAAACTGCAGTTTTAGGGAACCACAGGCAAGTTAAGCAGGCATAACTAAAAAACACTGAACCACAATTCCTTCATGTTGGCTCTTTGTTGTTGTTTCTTTCTTGTTTTTTCCTACTTGGCACATTGAACATTCAGTTTCTGCTGGTTTCATGTAGCATTTGGTTATATTTAACAACACGGTGTTGTTAATTTTTTTATTGAACCATTTCTTGCAGATTACTGAAGAGCTGGAGCAAATAAAACAAGAAATGGAAGAGAGAGGCTCGAGCATGACAGATGGAAGTGAGTTTTCTAGAGTGTATACCTCCTTGTATCAGTAGGCTTCAGAGCAAAAAAGGAAAATTCGCTGGAAAACCAGATGTAATATAGAATACGTATAGCACTTTTGGCACATACAGTCAGTGGCTGTAACAAACACTGGCTTACTTGTATGCTCAATAACGGTCTCTCATCATGCTTGAGTATTGCAAACAGGCAAGCGTAGTGCATGTAAATCTTATATTGGCAGTTGCGTCTGGAAAGTTCTGTCGCACCAATATCGCACCCAAACATCCGATTATTCAAACAGGACATTTCGCGCTCTTCTTCTCGAAGGGTCCACATAGTGAATCAGGGATATTATTCATCTTAAATATAGTGCAGCTAAAAAAGTTCAGAGAGAGATGAGAGATGCAACAGGGCGAGTGCTGTGGTATGATGCAAGGCCCGTAGATGTGATACATCACGTACCCACATAAGTAGCAGCATATGGGGAATCTGTATCTTTATGAAAAATGCAGAGAGCGAAAAACCTGTCTCCGAAAAGATTTTGCACCCAGTAAAAAAAAAAAAAAAGACTGAATGACAAATAAAAATAAATAGCCACTCTTATAATAAAAAAGAAATTGTTGGGAAGTCAGCTTTAATGCCTGTGAAAGAAAGAAAAGAACTGATTTATTTATTTATTAGAATACCCTCAGGGCCCGTAGGGCATTACAGAGGGGGTGGGTTAAACATTTTATAACACACAAAAAAAAAAGACAGAGAAAAGAAACAAGTGTCAGATGCGCAAATCACGAAGGCAACATAAATCAACTAAAAATGTATAAGTAAGAATTCAAGCACATACAAGACAAAGATAGATAATGGAAACTGCGTATAGTTACAAACATTGCTGAGAAATTGCAGTCTTGAATAACAAAGGGTCTGTTATTGTTACAACGGAAGAGGGAAGGTGGTTCGAATCGGCGGCTGTTTTCGGTAAGAAGGTTGCTGAAAAGAATTTGGTGCGGCAAAACGGAATGGCAACCTTATGCTAGGGATCAATGCGCGATGAGTGGTATGACGGTTGTGAAATGAGGTCTCGCTTCATTGATGGATTGTGAAAAAATATCTTATGAAAAAAATGCAGTCGCACCAATTTCCTCTGGACAGTTAAATTGGGCAGGTCAAGGTTAGATTTCATTTCTGATATGCTAGCAGTACGGGAATAATTAGAACTGATGTCTGAGGATGCAGACCACTACGGAGCTGGTAACACGCCACTGCTTTTCACAGGCCCAGTTGATTTGCTTTTAGCCCCGCCGCGGTGGTCTAGTGGCTAAGGTACTCGGCTGCTGACCCGCAGGTCGCGGGATCGAATCCCAGCTGCGGCGGCTGCATTTTAGATGGAGACGGAAATGTTGTAGGCCTGTGTGCTCTGATTTGGGTGCGCGTTAAAGAACCCCAGGTGGTCGAAATTTCTGGAGCCCTTCATTACGGCGTCTCTCATAATCATATAGTGGTTTTGGGACGTTGAAACCCCACATATCGTCAATAATTTGCTTTTACTTTATTACCTAGATTGTGCACTGTTTTTTTCTTTTTATCGGCGCAAGTGTGAAGCTCTCTGAACAGTGCGGTTCAAGCCTACAGCTCCTAAAGCAGTCAGCCTTATTTCAGCTGTTGATTGCTGTGTAGCAAACTAAAGGGGTAGTGACGCAAAATTTTCTGGCTGACATGTTTTTGAATAGTAAAAGTTCACTGAAGACAAGCACGCAACAAAGCAACACACTGTCGATAAGCATAAACTAGTATGTACCAACGTGCCCAAATTATTACCTTGGTAGCTGAGAAGCATGCAGGATCAATCTCAGAAGATGTGTATATATATTTTTCTTATTCTTTATTACTTTATTTTGAACGACATTGAAATAATTTGTCAAGAAAACACGGCTCTTGCCTTTAGCTGTGATATCATCTACGAAATATCAACAATTAGTATAGCTTGGGAGGGAACTTAAGTAAAGTTTTATGTTTCTGTTCTACCTTGCGTCATTGGCATCATCCTTGGTGACTGAAGGGGACCCCCAATTTCGGAGACACCACCGCTGTAGCTGAGCTCCAAGCTGGTGAAGATAGTAGTATGATGGTGTCATAGTCACAGTTGTATTCTTGCTGTGCTTGCGCTGCCACGCTACAAAATGGCAGCTGCTTATGTGTCCATGTCCACGGTGAATGTGTGGAAAGCATAGATGCCTCGAGAAAGTTGTTGCCACTAGGTAACGACGACATTGAAGGTGCAGGGTATGCGACAGGCAAAAGAAAACGAGCAGACCACGCAGGCATTGCAGAAGTGCATCACAGTTCTGTGTGCCATTCCACGCAGGTGGCATTAGTTGCATTTACCGGCTCGTCACTCTTGGAGCTTTCTCAAAGTGAAACCAATAATGGTCGGTAATAGACAGGGTGTAATGAATTATGTAAGTCATGCACTGCAGCAAGCAAAGTGCCACGTTGTAACTAATAGACCCCCAGCAACATGTTGCGGCAAAAAGAGCGCCAAACCACAATTGTCGTGTCACAACCTTTTTGAAAGAACACTAAAGGCAACTATCAAGTCGACGTTGATTGTTGAAATAGCGATCCAGAAACCTCATAGTGTTACTTTTCTGGCAAGAAAGGGCTTATTTCGATATGAAATCACGTTTTAGTGGTCCGCATCGGGTTAGCGCACTTCAAAAAATTACCCACCTGAAGAAGCGAACCGTATCACTTCATTGTTGCCATGCACAACGTGCCCGGTTTTACTGCGTGGCCGCCAACACTAGTAGCAGCAGAACGAAAGCAGTGGGAGCGACAACAGCAACAACAGCAACAACAGCCATTGATCAATTTCTGTCCATTGGCTCCAAGATGGCAGACATGTTTTGATTAAACTGGGCCCCGCTAGATAACACAACCTGTTCAGTTTAACTAGTACGCGAAAATTGAATTTTCGAACCACTCACGCCATTACTCATAGTAACGTCTTGCAGTTCTTTTTTTTTCATGAATCAAACAGAAACGAACAAGCAGCATTTTATTATGTCTGTTTCTTTATTTAGTGCAGCTATCGATTGCTAGTGACTAATTGTAGGCGGTTGGTCTGATGTCACCTGGACCATTTTGCAAATGTCCTACTGTAGCACATGTTTTCTTAGGCATTAACCTTAATTTCTCGGTAAGTATGGGAATTCCTGTTGATAGTATTGTGGGCATTTAGTATACCCATCCTCTTCACCTGTACATTATCATCATTATCATGTGTTGCTCATGCATCCTCATCGTTGTCACCTAGCATAATCATCTTGGTTCGTTCATCGTAGCTGTCGGCTGACGGTTCCTCGGGCCTTACAAAGATCTTCCAAACAAAGACTTCATACGTGGTAGAGACTTCATCGACGTTTCCTCAACATCTTCAATGCTTGGACGAGGTCCTGACTTGCCTTGCGGGTGCTGGTCTTCAAATTAACACCAAGAAGTGCCATTTCGCCAGCAGATCTATTAAGGTCCTCGGTCATGTTGTGAGCAAGGACAGAATTCGTCCAGACCCTGAGAAAACTGCTGCTGTGCTTTGCTTCCCTCGCCCTGACAAACCGAAAGAGTTGCGAAGTTTCCTTGGTCTCGCCTCTTACTTTCGGCTATTCATACAAAACTTTGCCTCCATAGCCGCACCCCTCCATAAGCTACTTACTTCCGGTACGCCCTTTCAGTGGTCTCAGGTGTGTAAATCGGCTTTCGACAGGTTGGAGAGTGCCCTCACAACCGACCCTATACTTTCTCATGTTCACGACGATGCACCAATCTTCCTGCATACAGACGCTAGCGGCTGCGGTTTAGGAGCCAAGCTCCTGCAACGCGACAACTCTTCGCGAGAGCGAGTCGTTGCATACGCCAGCCGCGTCCTCTCCGCAGCCGAAAGGAACTACACACTCACCGAGCAGGAGTGCCTTGCCATCGTTTGGTCAGTGCAGAAATTTCATCCTTACCTGCACGGAGGCCATTTCACCATTGTGGCCGACCACCACGCTTTATGTTTGCTTTTGACACTCAAGAACTTGTCGGGACGCCTCGGCCGCTGGATTCTACGCCTCCAAGAGTATGATTTTGACATCGTATACAAGTGTGGCAGAAAGCATAGTGACAAAAATGCTTTTTCTCGCTGCCCGCTACCAGCGGCTCCACTCAGCGTTTCCGCAATCACTTTGCACAACACACCCTCGAAGTCCACGTCTACGGCGGTTTTTTTCTCTCGCCTCTATGGACCAGCTGCCTTCGGACGACCCCCACGATTTTCCTTCTCGATAGTTGGCTGCCTCATACTGTCGACGTATTATAGGCTACTTCACTGGCAGTTCCCGTCCACCTAATGCGAGGCTTCGTCGCCAACTCTCACAATTTAAGCTGGACAACTCGGTGCTGTGCCGCAAAACTTGCCATCCTGACGGTCAGCGCTGGGTTCCCGTTCTACCCCAATCGCTTCGGTCCGAAGTCCTCAGAGCGCTTCATGACCATCCGACTGCTGTTCACCTTGGTTACCATAAAACCTATGATCGCCTTCGAAGTCGGTTTTATTGACCAGGCATTACCACTAGTGTAGCTCGGTACGTCGGGTCCTGCACTATGTGCCAATGTAGAAAACTACCCACATCTGCTCCAGCCGGTAGACTACAGCCTCTTCCGTGACCAGCCACACCATTCGAAGTTGTAGGCGTCGATCTTTATGGCCCCCTTCCAGTCAGTGCTGCTTGAAACCGGTGGATAGTAACAGCCGTTGACCATTTGACGCGCTACGCCGAGACGGCATCCGTCACTACCGGTTCAGCTTCTGAAATTGCCGATTTCATCCTCCGAGCCATTATACTGTGTTATGGTGCTCTACTTGTATTGCTCATTGATTGTGGAAGGGTCTTCCTTTCACAACTATTGAACGAAATTCTTCACGCCTCAGGCACAACTCACAAGACTGCCTCTAGTTATCATACCCAGACCTAACGGCCTCACTGAGCGATTCCACCGCACTCTTGCTGACATGATCGCCGCCTATATTCAACCAGACCATAAGAACTGGGATTTAGTTCTACCATTCGTCACTTTCGCATACAATACGGCCATTCAGCGGACAACCGGCTACTTACCATTTTACCTAGTTTATGGACGCTCTCCTACTTCTTTCCTGGACGTCTCTTTCTTTACCTGCCACGCGAATTCATCTTCATCCTCTTCAGAGGAATAGGTTTTACGACTGGCACAGTGCCGCCAACGTGCTCTTATAAATAATGACGCCTGACCGCAAGAGAGAAAGCTAGTTTATGATGAATCGCATTGTGCTAGTATCCTTTCAACCTGGAGACGAAGTGCTTCTTTTGACGCCTATTCACACACCTGGTTTAGTGCGACAAACTTCAGCCACAGGTTTATCTGGGCCGTACACAGTTCTTGAAGAGAGACCAGTGAATTATCCTGTGACACCACTTGTAGCCCCAGCAGATCGCCGTTATCAAACTACTGAAGTCGTCCATGTCTCCTGTATGAAGCCCTTCATGCGACGTTCTTTGTCCCCTTGACTTGCCGCGGCCAGGCTGGCCGCTTTCACGGGGGGCAATTAGTGTGGACATTTAGTATACCCATCCCCTTCACCTGTACATTATTATCATTATCATGTGTTGCTCATGCATCGTCATCGTTGTCGCCTAGCATCATCATCTTGGTTCGTTCATTGTAGCTGTCGGCTGCCGGTTCCTCGGGCCTAATAAAGGTCTTCCAAACCAAGACTTCATAATATTGTCATTTTAGATGTTGCCCTACATTGAGCATTCACTCTGATGTAAAGTGTTATTTGACTTTAGTGTACCTTCGACAAAAATTACTGTCCCTCCAGCTGCGCTGGCTCTTCTGCAATATACTAGTCGTGTACTCATGAGTGTCTTGCGTTTCTTCTTTTCAGCTCCCTTGGTGAACATTCGTAAAGCGCTCAGCCGTCTCAAGCAGGAGATAACGCAGATGGATGTGCGGATAGGTGTAGCAGTGCACACTCTTCTCCAGGCCAAGATTAAGGAGAAGGGAAATCTCCAAGACATGGCAGATGCGCCGGCGGCCAGTTACGACTCTGTGTACTAGTTTTTTTTTCTTGCTTAGAAAGAACTCTCCTGATAATGAAATCGCTTGCCGTTACTTTTTTGTGATGTGTACCTGATTTGTTGTTGAACCTTTTTTGGTGGAGTTTCTTTGTGCTATAATAGCATTACTGCCAATTTCCCCAATTTACCACCAACAAAACTCCTTATTTTTTAGCGGTCCTTCCAATCGTGTGGTCGCAGTAATAAATTTCTGAATAAATCTCTCAATACTTAACAGCTACTCAAAATGAAAATATCAAATGAGAACAGTTCTAAAAAATTTCCTCGTCCTGAGGAACCAAAACAGCTTCTCATACCCTCCCCTCCTACCCACAAATGTTAGGAAATGGCAGGCTGCCACGTTACAATGGAGCCGTTTTTATGTATGGCTTTGATTACTTATGGTTTAGCATGCTATCTTCGTCTCAAAGAGAAGCTCGCGATAATATCGCACTTCAGCACAACCACTGTTAGCTTCACAATCATATAATGTTAATGTTGTCAAGCATGCCAAGTTTGCAAAAAGGCTACGATATTTTGCGAGTCATGGCAGTTTTCTTTCTGAATGGGCGCGTATTCATGTTTATAATTACAGGCATCAATATGACTGTCAGTGTGCAAAACCTTTACTGCAGCCATTCACAGCTGCATATGATGTTACTGCAACCCTGCAGAGGAAAAAAAACTTTTTTTCGTTGTCCCCGCATCCATTCTACGATTCTCCCAATTTGGGAGGTCCTTTGCTTTCTAGTGTTTTCTTGTTTCCACTATACAGCACAGAACTCCCTTCTGTAGGCTACCTGCTGAGATGCACTTACATCACGCATCTGAATCCTTTAGGTACAGTGTACCATACTCATTCAATGCTTCGAATAGTGCATTTACTGCTTTGGGTGGAAGAAGTGGAGCAACGTAATCCGCTTTTTTTTGACAACCACGTTCTTTTTTTTTTTTTCCATCAGTTAATTCTTTATGTGTTGTATTTATTTACATTTTCATTGGCCGCATTAAGAATGAAGCACAGTGAAGGTGAGGGATGCAAATAACGAATAAAGATGCATAGGTTGTTGTTAAAAATATTCTTCAGCATTTGATTTGCGATCCTGAACTGAAGTGTATAGAAAGGGGACTATAAACTTAAAGGGGCTCTGCAACACTTTTCCAAGTAACCTTCAAACTGCTTCATCAAAGGAGTTTACTGCCTCATGAATTGACTGCGACAACAATTTTTTTAATCCGTCAAGTACAAGCGTAGTTACAAAGGTCTGTCACACGCTGCGATTGCTTTTTCTTTTCTCTCATACTGATGTGCATACTGGAAGCTAAGTAAAAGAAAGGGATGACACCGGGGCAAGAAGCTACATCACGTGCACATCATGACGTTAAAAGCACATTGTATTTCTTTTTTTTCTTCGAACAAGCATCTTACTTTCAATGCGATCACGTGCGCGGGCACGTGGTGGCATCGTTTGCTTCATAGTTATAGTGGCCACGCTTGCAGCAGCCAATATAACTATATAGATATCAAGAGCGTGTAAGAAGACAAGAAATGAAACTATGACTATCTCTATAACTATGAAGCAAAAGGTGCTGAAATTGGCCAATAGCCATAAATTTCAGCAAATGGCATCGTTTGTTGAGAGAAGAAGGAATGATTTCCAGCCGACTTTGAATATTAATTGCAAATTCCTGGCTGCATTATAATAATTGAATTGATTGCACATTCTCAGGAGCCTCGAATACCACTAGGCAGCTTTTTGTGGCCATGTTGAAAAAGTGTTACAGAGCACTTAGAAGAACAAAAAGAGGGCACATGAATGCAATAAGCGAAGGGGAAAGACAAAACCGGTGGTTCAGACTTCTTGAACCATATGCACGTTCCACAGAGTGAAGGTGCACTGATTCGCTGGGATAGTCTATTAAATCTAGAAAAACAATGAAAATTACAATTAAGAACTAAACTTGGCTGGAGAGTGTTTTTGTTCTTATAATTTTACTCCTCAATCCCACAGATTTCTGTCAAATATGTTGTTTACCTTAATTCACTGAAACTATCAAAATTTTCTGGGTGGCCACAAAATCGGCCCATTGAGAAAGCTGCTCATGCACCACAGGCCTTGCTGTAGATGACGAGTACTCGCTCGCTTTGTTATACACGCCCACTACTTCTCGAGGGGTCCGAGATTGGCACCATAATCAACCATGGATTGCGAAGGCATTTCTTTTGCTGTCTCTTATATTCATTTTACTAGTGCAATTATGGCGAAGAAACTTCATAAGGGCGTCCCTATTAGAATGTAAGTGGTTAAATGGGTACATTATTCTGCTACTACTTTGCATCTTAAGTGCATATTGCATCACTGTCTCGTGTCGATGTGCACTTTTTAAGTGTATTCTCGTTACCTCAGACACTTGAGATCAATATGGAACAGCTTCACATTAAAAGTATCCCATGTAGACCTGCAGTGACAAAAGCCATTAGCCGTCACGCTATTGTTCGGTTCATGATTAAAGGTTATTTGGGATATGTGTCAACTTTGAGTCTCCATGCAAAGGGTAGCATCATGAATATTGCTCAGTCCTGTGCGTAGGCTGCATGCCTGTCATCTCATAGAAATCTGAAAATTAGTGCAGCGAACTGAAGCAGACAGGTGTTAACACAAAGCGGGGAACGCCGTACTCGGTGGCCTCACGCTTTCCCAGAACACCGCACGCTTTCCCAGAGCGTATGAGACCTCGCCCACTAATTTTTCCCCCACAATGCACTAAGATTCATGGCCTTGCGGTGAATGTTGTGGTAATCTGAACAGCAAAAGATTGAAAGCAAAGTCCACAACCTACTTAGTCATTAAAATGGGGCTGCAACACTTTTTTAAGCAGCCATGAAACGGATTCACTAGAGGAGCTTATTGCCTCATAAAATCACTGCCGCAAAAATTTTTAGAAACCATCCAGCATGAGCTGTCACAAAGATTTGTTGCACGTGGCAAATGGGTTCTTCCTTCTCTTGTGCTGATGAAAGCATTGGAAGCTAAGCAAGGAGAGATGGCATGGAAAAACACGACACATGTGCCTTGCGATCTTGAGCACTTTTTCCTTTTTTTCTTAGAATGCGTAGCATTTTAGTGCGATCACACGAGCGCGAACAAGTCGCAGCGGCCTGAGTAACGACCAAACGTGCCATACTGAAATCAAACAATTGCCGATACAATGGCTGTGACAAGTGATTTTTGAGCTTGTATCATCATTTGTCGAGGGAAAAAAAGCAATTTTTGGTTGACTGAGAATTTATTGTGAATTCCATGGCACATGTTGCACTATAATATTTGGCTCGCATTTTCTCTGAGCCTCAACAACCGATTGGCAGCGTTCACTGATCATGCTCAAAATGTTTCAGGACCCCTTTAAGCAGATTCTGTGCTACACATGCAAAGGTTGCTCAACATGCAGTGGTTACTCGCATTTCACTATTGCCAGGCTGAGCGTGACCGTGCTTCTAATAGTCCGATGATGGTAATACCCCATATGGCCATGTTTATTTGATGGCCAAAGAGCAGCAGTACATGATTCAAATTGTCCAAGCCGGAGGAATTGCCTCCATGTTTGAAAAACACGGAGGCAACTACTACCGTTCTGGACAAAGTGTGTCAAACCAGCCTTCATACGTCAAGACTGCTCAGTGACATCAGCTCCCCTTTATCACGAGTAACTCTACTCGTAAGCATGCCTGTGAGCCCTTACAATACACCAATGGCCACCTTGCATCCATCTTCCACTGTGGTGGTGTAATGATTAGTGCTCGACTCCCGACCCAAAAGTCGAAGGTTCGATCAAAACTGCAGCCGTCCTATCTTTATTTAGGCGAAATGCTAGAGACCTATGTACTGCAGAATCTCAAAGCACGTTAAAGAACACCATATGGTTTATATTTCCAAAGCACCCACTACGGTGTGCCTTATAACTTACTGTGGCACATAAAACCACACAAACTGTTTTTGTCATCAGCCAATGAATTCACATTCCACTAGATTTGAAAGAGCTTAGGTTACAGGGCATACTCTCAGGCGCCCACATGGACACAGTGCTCACCACATGGAGTCTTGAATGCTGATGGTCTTTCCCGCAGCAACTGCTGAAGTGTGTATCTGGTAAATCGTCACACCGACGTCTGTCACTTGATCGCGAACGGACCCAATATGATTAGAATTTCTCCATTACGACTGGCTTCTTTATGCAAACTGGAAAAAGGAGTAAATCAGTGCGGGGCAATTTGATCAAAATTGGGCTTAATCGTAATAAGCTGTGCACTATATGGCACCAGTGTTAGTTACGCCCAATATACAAATTTAGCGAAGAGAATGCAGGGGCATGTTCGTAATGAGGGTTACTGTGGGTTCTGCGGAACCCTGGGAGCCCACAGTACACCAGCATAAAAAGTTGTAGTGTTGATATATACTAAGTATGCTTCAGTTTTAGTGGCCCACTTACGCTGCAACATGTTATTGTACCTTTAGATGCGAAACATGTGCATTAATAAAGCAGGGTTGTTTTTTTTTTTTTTTTTTCCTTCAGAAACGCTAGTCATTACGTCATGAAGAAAGGTCAGTGCCGACGCACACAGCACTGCTCTGCGAATAATGAAAATGCACTTTTCTGAGCACAGCCCGACAACTCATCTATGTGTACCGACTTCCCCACTAAGCACGGCACAACGAACAACAAAAGGTGACGGGCTGCTCATGCGACTGCCCCTACGACTTCCATCTGTGCCCAAAACCAAAAGTGCACGTAGCCGCCGCGAAAAACCATTACGTCACATCTGCAGCATCACATGACACGACGTTTTGTGTCACGACCAAAGCCGCTGACAGCTCCAACGTCGATCGACGAGAATGAACACAAATCAGTTTCTTCTGTAAAACACGTGTATTATTACAGCAACACATGTCCAACCACTCCGTCAAGCGATCTCTTTAGCCCGCATGTAAGCGTTCCACTGCTCGGGTATCTTCTTGAAGGTGTTTATCTTCTGTCTGATCTGGGCAGGCGTGTCTTGGAAGTGATTCTTGCGATCTCTCGCCATGGCAGCGTAGTCCTCGCCGTACTTTTCCAGCATGTAGACGCAGAACTTGACGTCATCGACAGACATTCGTAGCGTGCTGGGCCTAGGCTCGGAGGCATGAGCTTCTAGCTGTGCAACGACGTGTGCCTTTGGAGCGGGTGTCTTTCGCTTGC